TTTATGTTTTCGCATCCACCTGAATAATGTGCAGTTGCGCCACTGGTGGCAGATATTGGATGTGAACTTAGAACCAATCTTAGACTTCTGATTTCTGAAATTTTTATTCTGATTTAAAGGGCCCTTAAAATTGAAAGCACAATGACACTTTGTCAAGCACAGTAGAGTAAAGCAGTTATATGCTGCTGGTAAAATACTCAATATTCATAACTTCAAAAAAATAAAACACATTCTCCATCTTTCCTTAAGATGTCGTAGTAGTGCAATAGACTTAAGATGAAACAGGAGAGGATGAAGAGGAATAAACTTAGGAATGCTCACACACTTTGTTGGTGTGCAGACAGATCGTAGAATGACCTGGTCTTATGTTCAGCATATTTAAACAAGATAGAACCTTGAAAAAATCCAAACAATTTTACAAATTTTTATCTACTTTTTTTGTTTTTCAATACAAAAGACGTAAAGAGTTCAATACATACAGCTAAACAAAAAGAATAAATACCACAGCAAGCATTTACATTACTAAGAGATGGACCAAATGAAATGTAACAACCACAATTATTTACTTTTTTTTTTTCAATGAAAAAGCATAGCATAGCAACAGCATTTAAGAGCTTCAAGGTCTTCTTTATTCTGAGGGAGGAACTTTACAAATATCAGTTACAGTGTATTGTTACAGCTCTGCTGTCCTGACTGAAAAAACTAGGTTGTCCAGTCCTCCTACAAACACAGTAACTGAGGAGTCTGAAACACCAGCCACTGTTTCCGGTGTTCCAGCGTTGCTTGTCTTGAATGGACAGCAGTGTTAGCGTGTAGCACCTTCAGGTTTAATGGTGGTCCCTTTCAGCTTTCAGACAGCACCAGCTACATTCTGAGCTAGTCACAGCTGGAGTGGTGGAGAGGATTGGGAGCTGTGGTACAGAGGGGGAGGGAGGGGCATACACTCTGTTTCTGTCTTTCAGCTGGTTAAGAGAATCACCTGAGGCTGTAATGAGCCCCAGAGAGTAGTGTCAACACATCTGACAGCCCAACATACTGTCAGCCTGTGGCAGAGACCTCTCGCTGCCCTTGTACACTTCCTTTGATGTCTTGCATGTGCAAACATGCCAATGGAAAAAAAGAAAAAACACAGAAAACACATTCCAGCATGCTTTGGCCCAAAGGAGACGAGAGGAAGCGGAGGCATAAAAGGGGAGACAGGATGGTGTGTGTGTGTAGGGGACTGGGAAGGACATGGGAAATTAAACTTGAAAAGTAGGAAGAGTGGTGTGAAATCCTCTTGGCAAACATTCCATCGCTGCTCAGCCAAGGCTCTGGTGTACATGAGGAGTTGGACTGTTTTCACTGTTAATTTTAATGAACTGACAATGAAGTCTCTTTTGTCTCCAACAGCAGCATCAGATTGTCAGTGCAGCAAGGACACAGAAATGTTACAAATTGTCTGCATATTAATATTTCTCTCCATGAGTCCATGCATCTGCTTTTCAAGCCCAGTGTTAATATGAAGAAGTAGTTATGGCACATGGAATACTGGTGAAAGCCTGAGGAAGCATCAGTCTGCCACTATGGCACTCTGTGAAACACACACCAGGATTATATTTACACACCGCCATTTGTCCAGCCCTTCACACTCAACTTCCTCTTTGGGCTCCTTTCTCCTGGTGGACGTGTAGGGTCTGGGCTCCAGCTGTCTGCAGTCATGTGGTCCTGGGGTTAGGAAGGTCAAAGACGATAGGTGGGTTCATGGGCAGGAAGTTCACCGTGCAAGCTGAGGCGTTGATGAACGTTGTGGTGCCGTCTGTCATCATGCCATAACCTGTACAATAAGGCAAAAAAAAAAAAAAAAAAAACTTAAAAAAACTTTTAAATGAAGTGGATGAAAATGAAATGCATGTACATTCATTCCACACAGGCTACATATATTTCATTGTTGGTTCTGGTGTTTCTCATGTTCCTCTGGAGACCAGCCTATTGAGTCATTGTGGAGTTGAGGAGCACTGTAAAACCTAAGTTAGTCAAACTCAATTTGAGGAAACTGATTGTCTTAAACTCTTTAAGTTTATTAACCTAAACAATTCAGTTCAGAAAGAATATTCTATTTAAGTCAAATATTTTCTGTCAGGCCAACATGGATACAAAAAGTTTCATTCAATAAACTGAACTTAAACTAGTAAGTATCCTATGACCATTTCTTGTAACTGATTTAAAATGTGTTAATTGTAGTCATCTATTTAGAGCCTGAATAGTCAAATATTGTAAAATCTATTTAAAGAAGACCCAATTCAGCTCAAGTTACTCAATTTTATTGCTCCAAATTAAATAATGCTCTAGTTGCCACTACTTTTAGTTTCTCAATTCATTTTAGGAAAAACACTGCTTTAAACCATTTAAGTTGCCTTATCACAATACATGTTATGTTAAACAGCTCAGGAAAAAATTAAGAGACCATTTAAATAATTAGTTTCTCTGATTTTACTTTTTATTAGTATATGTTTGAATAAAATGAACATTGTTCTTTTATTCTATGAACTACTGACAATAAGTCTTTGAAATAGCAAAAATGTAGTATTTATTGCAGAAAATGTGAAATGATCAAAACGGCAAAAAAGATGCAGTGCTTTTGGACCTCAGATAATGCAAAAAAACAAAACAAAACACAAGTTTATATTCATTTAGAAACAACAATGCTAATGTTTTAACTCAGGAAGAGTTCACAAATCAATATTTGGTGGGATAACATTGACGTTTTCAATGGGGTTCAGTGCAGAGGTCTAAATACTATTATTTTGGATGGACTCCCCAGAAGCTTCAATATGTAACTTTTATTTTTAAAAATAGATGGGGTTTTTACATAGTTGTTAAAATTATCATTATGTCATGACAGCATAAGACATAAAATCTGTGAAAAAAATCGAGCTCTTCTGCCTTCTCCCAGTACTCCCAGTACTAACTGCAGAAACACAATACTTGGTCAGAAACAACCAGAGCCTTGGAGGGTCTTGGTGCTGACAATCAGGCTTGTATACACACTGCTCACACACTCCCCATTGCTCTCTGCTACCACAACATAGCCTATTACACAGTGTTGTGTTCAAGACCACCTAACCCGAGACCAAGACAAGACCA